ACCTGCTCAAAGACAATTGTTTGAGGAAACCTGCTTCGGGCCATGGCTGAGAGTACAGCATCCGGGTGGAGATGCTAATTTGACCCATTTGTGGCTTCAGACCATGACATCAAATCTACCCGACAGTATACAACGTGGTGAGGAAGAGATATGGTTTCATTTTCCACCAGCGTATACTTGCTTTGGGCGGAAGGAGTTCTGCTTAATCACTGGTCTACGATTCGGACACGATGATGTAGGCCGGTACACTCGTCATATCGCCCGCCCATCATGGTTATCCCGGGTTTTTCCGGATGAGTCAATGGAGAAGCCGAACCTACATGTCGACGACCTGAAGAAATTATTTAATAAGAAAGCTGGTTTCACTCGGATGGAAGACGTCGATGTTGTCCGAGTATGCCTTCTACTACTTGTGTATGCCGGCTTTTTAGGCAGAGAGGCCAGACAACCTATTCATCGGGAGCTAATAATATTGGTAGAGGACCTGAATGCATGGAATCTGTTTCCGTGGGGTTCGTATATATGGAAAGCTACCTGGACTAAGTTGTCGTCTGCCTTTGATGACCGCAAAAGTTTGCGGGGCGATGGGTCCAAATACACTTTGTCAGGCTTTGTTTGGGCCTTTAAGGTAAGAATTTCTATATAATGTTTCTAAAATTATAATTAATTATTTAACAATTACTAATTTTGTTATTATATTGTTTGTAGATTTGGATATTCGAGGCTTTCCCCAGCATGCGTACATATGCAATAAAAACGTCAAATGATATTCCCAGGGCTATTTCCTGGAAGAGGAAAACTCTGTTGGATTGGGAAGACTTAATACCATATGCCACAATAAATAATGTAAGTTAACACAAATACTTTCATATATATAAACAAGTTATTAATAGTAGACGTTTAACTTTGTTTGAGTTTTTATATTTTAGGAGGCCAACATTCCATTACAAAGACTGTCACCCACGGAGGAAGAGCTTGCCACTGATTGGTGGCAAGCTAGTCAGAGTTTTTTTGATGGCACGGATGATGAGCAGCATCCACTTCCTCCAATTCGAGAGCCATCACCTCACCTAGAGCCATCACCCGATCGTGACGACTATACACCTCTAGAACGAGAGCCATCACCTATCCCGTCACATCATCGAGCCTCTTCTCCACCATCACCTCATGATAGGCGACCGGCAAAGATGCCACGACTCCTATCTCCCTGTTCTCCACCTCCACCTCAACGGGATGAGTCAAGGGAGTTACGTGATGAGGTCAATGCCTTGCGTGAGGAGATCGGTACTCTACGCGATAACGATGGTGCATGGCGTGTGGAGGTGTCAACTTTACGTGGTGAGGTTGCCGCTCTACGTGAGATGATAGTATCGTTGCAGAATGAGGTTCATACTCTACGCAACGAGGTAAGTTTAAGATTTTCCATATTTAACTTAATGATAAATTTACTCGTAATTTCACTTAGATTAGCCATTTCACTTAGATTGCTTAGTAAATTTATTCGGTTGCTGCCAATTCTGCTAAACTGTGTATTCTTTAACACTGTGAAATAGTATTTGTCTTTGTTTTGTCTTTTGGTTGAAAGTAAATTTGTTCGGTTGCTGCCAATTCTGCTAAACTGTGTATTCTTTAACACTGTGAAATATATTTGTCTTTGTTTTGTCTTTTGGTTGAAAGTAAATTTGTTCGGTTGCTGCCAATTCTGCTAAACTGTGTATTCTTTAACACTGTGAAATAGTATTTGTCTTTGTTTTGTCTTTTGGTTGAAAGTAAATTTGTTCGGTTGCTGCCAATTCTGCTAAACTGTGTATTCTTTAACACTGTGAAATAGTATTTGTCTTTGTTTTGTCTTTTGGTTGAAAGTAAATTTATCCATTCAAGTTTCAATTTGCAGAAGAATTTATAGTTTACTTTCGCAACACGAAACTTAAAATCGCAACGCGAAACCAAAATCGCAACGCGAAATGAAAATCGCAACGACAGAATCGCAACGCGAAACCAAAATCGCAACGACAAGATCGCAACGCGAAACCAAAATCGCATTGCGATTTTCATTTCGCGTTGCGATTCTTTCGTTGCGATTTTCATTTCGCGTTGCGATTCTGTCGTTGCGATTTTCATTTCGCGTTGCGATTTTGGTTTCGCGTTGCGATTTTAAGTTTCGTGTTGCGAAAGTAAACTATTTCTTCTTCTGCAAATTGAAACTTGAATGGATTGCATTACTTCAACCAATAGACAAATCAAAGACAAATACTAACTTCAGGGTATTAGTTTGAAACATATTTTTCTTTGTTATCTGATGCATTTTGTGAACTATGATAGAATAATGACTTGGGTGAATACAATGCAAGTTTGAAACATATTTGTCTTTGTTTTCACTGTTTAAATATCATGTCTGTTTATTTACTGATTTTTGTATTTAATTATTTAGCGGCCCGATAGAGTGGATGCTTTACGTCGGGTTATGCTTGCACGACGGAGTTCACGCATCAGACAGCGTGCACGTGCTATTAAGTCTCCGTACACCCCAATAGTGCGAAGACACCGCAAGAAGAAGCCCGACTCGCCTGTCATCCCTCAAGAGTCCACTCCTATCGTTGAAGAGGCCCCCCATATCATTCCTCGAGAGTCCCCTCCCACCGTTCAAGAGGCAACTGTCATCGTTGAAGAGGTCCCTCCCACCATTCCAGAGCCCGATTCACATGGGGTAATATATCGAAGTATTGAGAAACCCCCACCGGTTCCGGACATGATGGATGAGAGTTGGCTCTCGTATGAGTTACCGGCCAGTACCATACCGGTATCTGAAGAGGAGAGGGAACAACTACCGGACACAATTTGGATAACACCCTTTGGGCTAAGACCGCAGTTGATTTTTATCTACATGAGCGGAGCAAGGGGTGTTTCACTGACATATGCAAGCTCACCGATGATATCTTTTTGTTGTTTGAACGGCCTTGGTGGGGCGTATTATTAGGGGTCGAAGACAATGGCTATTTCGATGGGGGGGTAAGTCTTATATTTTTCTTATATTTCAATTTGATTAATTTTTTTTTTAAATTTATGTAAGTCACTAATATATGTCTTTTTTTGTAAAACAGCATATCGATGCGTGGGTGACACGTCTTCTAATAATAAGAAAACTTAAGAAAAATAAAAATATACGATATACAATAATGCCGACGTCTTTTCACGCCGTTCACTTGAAGAATGCACGAGATGAATCATTTGATTTGGGCAATGGACAAGCTAAACTTTATCCTGCATGGTGGGAGGTCGATAAGGTTAGTATTTATTTTAGATTGAGTTTAAAGGTTTTATGAAATAAGTGCGCAAATGAATGAATTATTACTTATGATTGCAGGTGTTTATCCCTGTTTTGGAACGTAAACATTGGATTCTCGTCGAGCTTCAGCTCCCATCCCTTAAGACAATAGTGTATGACAGCATGATAAATTACATATCATTGGCTGATTTAAGAGATGTTATTAAGGGATGGAGCTCTCATTTGGCTAAATTCTTGGATGCGATCAATTATTGGACTCGTTCTGGAAACAAGAAGCCAAAGAAGCTCAATATTACAGTTATTAGAGACGAGACCGCGCCACAACAAACGAGCGGAGCCAGAGGAGATTGTGGTCCTCTCGTATGCTTGGCGTTGGAGCGTTTGACGACGGGAAGCATCAAGTATCTACCTCCCACCGATAGAGATAAAGCTGCAGTAGGCTTGTGGTTTCGGCATTATATGGCTAAATCGATATATACGAGACGCTGCCTACCTGCATCCGCGTTATAAAAATGTCCATAAACAATTGGTAAGTTTATATACTTATAAATGAAAATGTTTGGTTAAGTAATTAGAATTCAATAATTTGCGTAGAAAGTGTTGTTTGAACAAATGTTTGGTTTCTGCAGGTTAATCTCAGAAGTGAACTGCGTGAAAATGATGTCGAGCTGCAAAAGTTGATTCAATAGTTTAATTGATTGTTTTTTGATTGTTTAATTGATTTGTAAAAGTTGATTCAATTTTTGATTGTTTAATTGATTTGTAAAAGATGATTTGTAAAAGTTGATTTGTGTAATTGATGCGAACATAATTCTTATTTGTGCTTGTTTAATTGATTGAAATGTAATGGTTGATTTTGTTGATTTCAATCTGCATTATGTTGAAGGCAAAAATGACTATCGCAATGCGAAATGAAAATCGCAATGCGAAATGAAAATCGCAACGAGAGAATCGCAATGCGAAATGAAAATCGCAATGCGGAAATGAAAATCGCAATGCGTTTATAATTTCGCATTGCGATTATCTCGTTGCGATTTTCATTTCGCATTGCGATTTTCATTTCGCATTGCGATTCTTTCGTTGCGATTTTCATTTCGCATTGCGATTTTCATTTCGCATTGCGATTTTCATTTCGTATTGCGATTTTAATTTCGCATTGCGATTTTCATTTCGCATTGCGATTCTCTCGTTGCGATTTTCATTTCGCATTGCGATTTTCATTTCGCATTGCGATTCTCTCGTTGCGATTTTCATTTCGCATTGCGATTTTCATTTCGCATTGCGATTCTCTCGTTGCGATTTTCATTTCCGCATTGCGATTTTCATGTTGGGATTTTCATTTCGCGTTGCGATTGTATTTTCCGTGTTGCGATAGTCAAATGCATGCCTAATAGTGATAACAACTGAATAACAAGAGTTGGTTAAGTCAAAATGGTTGGCCTGAGTCATTAATTCAACTGAAAATGTTAAAAGTTCACACATAAAATCCACATAATACAACGTTTGCATATGAGCTTTTGATGGCAACGTTTACATAATACACATAAAATGTTAAATGTTAAAACGTTTACATAATACAACTGAATAACAACGTTTACATAATACAAAGTTCACACCATATGAGCTTTGGATTTTGATGAGGATCCATATTTTGGTAGAGGAAAAGATGATTTTGATGGCACTGGTGATCCACATGTCAACCTTGTATGACCACTTTCCTTGCACCGACTACATGTCGATCTCTTCTTCTCTTCACCCTTAGACGGTATACGATCGTGACTTTTTGGTCGGCCAGGTAGCCTTCTGTCCATGGCTGGTGGCAAAACTGTTTGTAAGTCATCTGGTATGTCCCACTCAGAAGGATGTGGAATAGGGTAGACAATCTCGGCATAAGTCTGTCGATAAACTTCTGTAGTGTAGCAATCCATAGCGTATGCGCTTGAATCATCTTGGTTTAAATGAAGAGCAACTTTTATAACATGGCCACACGGATAACCAGATGTTTGCCATTTCATACAACTACACGTCTTTGCATTTAGATCGACTAGCCCATTTAAGTTATTATCCAGTACTTGAAACAAAGTGTTTGAACATGGTTCAACTCTCCATGACGTTGACTTCACAACACGTTTCGTTATCTTTTTTTCAGTCCATGGTGTAACACGATGTTCCAATGTTCCTGTAAATTTAAATAAACAATACTTAGTAAAATATATAAATATGATAAGTTACGAATTCAAAGAAATAATACCTGCATGGTTTCTTTTCTTGTAGTACCACTGTTGAATAGAGGCTCGAAAAAACTCCATTAACATAGTAATGGGTAATTTCCGGGAATGACGACTTAGAGCGTTGATTGATTCTGCACTATTAGACGTCATGAAACCATATCTTGCTCCAAGTTGATGTACTCTTGACCATCTTTCAAACCCGACATCTTCTAGTGTTTGAGCACACTGAGGCAAAACACGTCTTAAACAATTTATATGCTTATTGAAATCCACTTCCCGATAAGCTTTTACAGCCTTCCAGTATGTCCATTTGTGCTTTTTTATACCAGCAGACCTTGATTTTAGATTTCTATACAAATGAACACCACAAAGTCCATGAAAAGCATCTGGGAAACACCTTCTAACAGCGTTGTCAATTGAGTTTGCCCTATCGGATATGATTGTCAGATTGCTAATAGGACCTATGCAATCCCTAAGATGCCCCATAAACCATGTCCATGAATCAGAGGTTTCAGATTTGCCAACCCCGTAAGCTATTGGCAATATCCCATTGTTAGCATCCATGGCTACTGCTAATAAGTTTACTCCAAGGTATCGACCTTTCAAATGTGCTCCGTCAACTATAATAACTGGGCGCATGCAAGTAATAAACGAACGAATCTACAAAATAATATACACAAGAAATATAATCATTTAAATGTGAAATGCATGTAACTAACAAAAATGAGTCAACAAAATTATATTGATTTACTAACCGTAGCACCAATGGCGATAAACAGCAACTCAAAGCGTCCATCTCTATCTGTTTTGATATGAGTTACCGACCCAGGATTTTTCAGCTTTAAATTGTGACAATAAGCCGGCAGTTGGGCAAACGATGCTTCTGGCGACCCCCTCAACAATTCCAAGGCATAACATTTGGCTCTCCAAGCTTGAGAATATGATATACTAATCTTGAACCGAGCATTCATGTCAGTCATAATTTCATGTCCCCGATATACCCTGCCATTCAAAAACATTAACTCAGCCAGAAAACCACCCAACACCTTTTTGTTTGCCTGTCTATGGTGAGGAAAAACTTGGGTTCTTGAACATGTATGTTTATCAATAAAAGTCCTAACTTGAAACATTTTGCAATCTTTTATTCTCTTTGCAATCATACGCCACGTACAGTTTTTGTCAATCATACACCTTGTTTCGAAACGATCTTTGCTTGATTTGTTAACTTTTAGTTGATAGCCATCTTCCACACATTTCGTATATAAAGCTATCTTCAAGTCTTCCTTTGTATCAAAACAATCATCTTTCTTGATACGAATAACTTTTGTGTAACAATCAACTGCTTTCTTTATCAACTCTTCTTCCGGTATCTGAAGTAATTCTGGCATATTCCAGTTATACGCCCGTGGCATTTTCTTTTCTTCGGGGACTTTTTCTTCTTCTTTTTCTTCTTCAGGATTATATGAATTACAGAATGGATGTTCAACATGTTCATTCACAGTCGTAACTTCCTCCTCATTATCATCAACATTACATTCTTCGGCAACGGCTGTTTCATCATCAAAATTCGGGTATTGACCAATATCAATATCATTACACGCATGGTCTGTTTCTTCTTCTGAAACATCATCAAAATCCGTGTATTGACCAATATCAAAGTCCGGATATTGACCAAGACCAAATTTCGAATACTGACTAGTACTCACAATTTTTTCTGTTGGCTCATCATCGTCTAACTGGTCAATACGAAAACCGGAATTTGGTGCTGAAAGTTGATTGGGATTTGGATTAGAGAAAGGTTGTGGGTTTTGAGAAAAACTTAGTTGATTACTACCCGCTACTGACCCAACAATACTACTTCTAGGTTCAACAACATACAATGTAACATCATCTTGTGAAACACTAATGTAAGCAATGAATCGTTCAACATCTTCATTGTCGGTTAACAAATAAACTTTACCATTTCTCTGATAAGATAGCCTAAATCCACTTAGGGGCTCTAAATTCAATTTATTTGAAACACGTAGCATTAGAGTTTCATAAGTTAACTTTTGTAAAGACAATTTTAGTTGAAGATTTATGGGTAAAGGCATATATTGTAAAACACCATTAACATTATCCCATGACCCTCCAAAACACAAATCTATCCAAACATGATCAACATTAGATGATTTCATGGTTGTAACTAAACAAACGAGATGCGAAACTAAGACCTGTTGCCGGATGGGGAAGGATGTCGTTGGATATAGGAACGGATGTCGCCGGAGAGAGTGATAGATGGAGATGGAATGAGTTGCGATTTAGGGATTTAGTTTATGATTTCAGTGTTATATACCCAAAATTTCAGTGTTGTGATTTACAGATTCTCGTTGCGATTTACGGATTATCGTTGCGATTTACAGATTCTCGTTGCGATTTACGGATTATCGTTGCGATTTACGGATACGCGTTGCGATTTACGGATTATCGTTGCGATTTACGGATACGCGTTGCGATTTACGGATACGCATTGCGATTTACGGATACGCGTTGCGATTTACGGATACACGTTGCGGTTTACGGATACGCGTTGCGATTTACGGATACGCGTTGCGATATACGGATACGCATTGCGATTTACCCATACGCGTTGCGATTTACGGATACACGTTGCGATTTACGGATACGCGTTGCGATTTATGTGTTCGCGTTGCGATTTTCATATTCGCGTTGCGATTATGGAAAATCGCAATGCGAATTTGTACTATCGCATCGCGATTTTCAAGAATCGCGTTGCGATTCTGGAAACTGATTTGCGATTCTGGGGATCGCGTTGCGATTTTTATTTCGCGTTGCGATTTTGTTGGTCATTTTGGCAAATCCAAAAAAAGTTGGTTAAAATCGTATATTATAACTTTTTTTTGGTCACTGAGGCGATTTTCTCTAACAAAAAATGTTGGTCAAAGAACCACATTGAGTTTACTTTTTGAATTGAAGGGTCACCTTAAGAAAAATAATACGAATATCACATTACTTTTTTTAAAATTACATTCTACCTTTGATTTCTTTTTGCTTAAAATTTAAACAAAATCTAAAAAAAATAAAATCTATGAACTGTTTAATGTTTTTTTTTAAATATTACACATGACATAATATCATTGTTTTTAATTAGTTTTTTTAATGAGAAAAATACAATGGATAGTCTGGTATACAAAATGATAGTACAGATATTAAATTGATAAAAGTTATACAGGTATCAAATTGATTATTTGAGTGTAATATAAGTGTTAAACAAGATATTAAAGCTAAAAGGTGTTATAGAGAGTTAACCATATATAATTAATTTTAAATGTTAAGAAAAATTAAATATAATTACACTCCATAATCTAAATAACTCAAGACTTATCCGTCCGTTAGATCTGCACCAATATTTTGAATTTGGAAAGGTTAAAATGGATTTCTTTAAGTTTTTAATAATTACGAAAGATTTTAAATTACCTTATAATAATTTCAGAATATTAAAAGAAAAAAAATTGAAAAGTAAGAGAATCAATCAATTAATCTCAATTGTTAAAAAGAATATTAAAATTTTAAATATTTTGAATTTAAATAACTACATATATAAAATATATGTACATTATAAAAATTATAAATTATAAATAAATATTATCTTATAATTATTTAAATATTAAGAAAAACGAAGAGAAAGAAATTAGCCGAAATTAAATAATTCTTCATAAAAATTCCCCGTTGTACTACTCATCACCTGCGTAATAATCTTTGTGCATGATCACACGTGTCCTCTTTTTTGTTAAGATTCGTTGAGTAGATTTGACACAACCCAAGTTTTCTAATTTAAAACATTTCTCACCACAAATATGTTTCCACATTTAACAAATATTTAAACGTGATTTTCTTTCTTCCCGTTTCTAAAGGCTTCCTTTTTTATTATTCTAGATAGATATATCACACTCTTTATTTTAGTAGGTGAATTTTTTAACTAAGATATTTTGTATATGTAAGAACTCAAATTCGAGATTTATTTAAGTAATATGAAGTTATTTACCACTTAAACCATCATCGTTAGTATTTAAATGTGTTTCTGAATACACATATATTTGACATTCCTATTATCATAGCTGTCTCGAACATTTTTTAGGTTTTGAGTGAAATCTCAAAAATAAATATTTATAAAATAAAAATATATTTTATTGTTGATTAAGGAAACATTATAAATATAACTAAGAGTGAATAAATATAAAATTTTAAATGTGAGTATGATACTGAACTTAATTTTGAATAACAAATAATAAAAAACAAAACACAATATATTATTGTATTGTTAGATTGAGATGAGAAAAGACTAAAAATTAAAGAATGAGATTTGAAAAAGATAAAAAAAATATAGTTAAATTTAATTCAAAAGTAAATGAATAAATAAGAGATAGAAGAAGAGAGCCAAAAACTAAAAGACTTATGGAATTAAAGAAAAAAATAAGGGCCTTAATTATAAATATAGATATTAGAGGCATCAATTATAAAAATAAAAATTAGGGCATGAGCAATAGCTTAGGATAGGGGTGATCAATTGGTCGGTTCAATAAACCGACTAGGGGTGTTCAAAATTCGGTTTTAACCGAATTAATCGATCGAACCGAATTAGTTCGGTTAATTCGGTCGGCCACCGAATTAATTCGGTTGGGGAATGGTTAAGGATTTTTTTGGAATTCGGTTAACGGTTAATTCGGTTCGAAATCGGTTAATTAACCGAATTAACCTTTAAATATAATTATATTAAAAGGCACAATCCATTTAAAATCCATTTATACCCAAATCAATATTAATTAATTAAAATAATATCAAAACTAAATACAAAATGTTTGAATCAAATTAATTAGATATTATTTATAATTAGATATTATTTAAATTAATTGTAAATTGTTTTTTTTAATTAAAAAATATTAAATTCTAAAATTTTAAAAAATTTCGGTTAATTCGAAAATTAACCGAATTAACCGAAATTTATTCGGTTCGGTTAATATTTTTGAAAAAAAGTTCGGTTAATTCGAAAATGATAGTTCAGTCGGTTCGGACACCGAATTAACCGAATAAACACCCCTAAAACCGATCGAACCTAACTTCTAAAATTTCATTAACCGAAATTTTTTCTTTTAAATGTTAATTGAACTGAAATTTTTCGAAAAAATAATCAAATCAAACAAAGTTTGGTTAATCGGTAGGTTAATCAAAATTTATAAATAATATATATTATATATTAAATATTTTATATATTTCAGTTAATTTGGTCAGTTAATTCAGTTAAAATCGAAGTTTAAACACTCTCATATATAAATAATATATATAATATATTAAAATTTTAATAATTTTGGTAACTGATTGAACTGGATTAACATATAATCAAAGTTTGAAAAAAATATTAACTATTAACTGATTGAACCTAAAATTAACCGACTGATTAACCGAAAAAACTACGGTTCAGTCGATTAAGAACTCAAACTCGAGATTTGTTTAAGTGATATCAAACTGCTTATTATTTAAACCAGTCTCGTTGGATTTAAAGGTGTTTCTGAATATACACATATTTGACATTCCTATTATCATATCTGTCTCGAACATATTTTTAGGTTGAGTGAAATCTCAAAAATAAATCTTTATAAAATTAAAATATATTTTATTGTTTTAAATAATTACTTTAATGTTATATTAATAATTCATAAAAATGATTAAAATTTGTCAAATATATTATTTTTATTGTTGGTTAAGAAAACATTATAATATAACTAAGAGTGAATAAATATAAAATTTTAAATGTGAGTATGATACAAAACTTAATTTTGAATAGAAAATGATAAAAAACAAAACACAATATATTATTGTATTGTTAGATTGAGATGAGAAAGGACTAAAAATTATAGAATGAGATTTGAAAAAGAGAAAAATATAGTTAAATTTGATTCAAAATTAAATGAATTATGTTGCTCGACTCCTCGAAGCACACAATTGTCATTAAAAGTCTTGCTTAGCCTATACCAATTTGGTCATTGTTTACATCATAGTAACAGGCTTGGGATGAGAGACCCTATAGTGATTGTATACAATTTATGTAATTAGGTTGTCTCTTTGAAACTAGGTCTTGGGATCTTTAATCAACTAGGTAGGGTTTTCCTTCACACAATGTGTAACAACCCAACCCGTACCCGACCCGGATACGAGTCCGAGATGTCACATTGACTTTTCAAAACCTTTATTCTTGTAAAATAACATAACCTTTGATCTTTTATTAAGAAAATACGATCATATATTGTTGAATTGTGTTCGTTATAAAATTTTGAGTCAAAAACGTATTTATGAACAGTAAAATATGGTATGAACAATACTATGAACAATAATGAACAGTAATGAACAATACCATGAATAGTGCTACAATGCATCGATACATTGCTACAATGAATTTGTAAAACGTTCATAAAACTCGTAAAAATTTAACCGTTCATTACTATACATTTACATTTACATTTACATTTACACATATACATTTAAATCATTTCAAAACTCGATCAGAGCGTATCCAATACAAATCTTTTCTTATTACATGACAACTAAATTCTTTCTAACAAATACATATAATTCAATTTACATTTCTGATCTGATCTTTGGTAAGGAGAATTGACCTATCTTGTTCCTCTTTATTTCTCTTTTCGCTTCCCAAACTTACGTGTGAAACAATCACACACTAAGTGAGGCATATAAACATATAATAAAAATAATGCATTTCATATCCATATGAACATATCTTCTACTCATTCAATCATATCACATATGATTCCATGTAAATAATAATGGCATGATAACATGTAATAATGCAAACACTTTTATACCTTTTTGTAAGCCCATGTACATTACTGAGAACTCAAGGTATTCGAGTACATTAAGGTTGTGCACTATGCTGTCACCACAGCTCGTATGGGGTCCTACCAGGGGCTATGAAATTTGTCCCGAAGGACCTATGTACTGTATTTGTCCCGAAGGACCACTCCTTAAGAACCATATACATATTCCATTGGATCACATATGTGTCTCAAAAGACCCTGTAAATGTTCCAAAGGATACATATACGTCCCGAAGGACCACGTAGAACCCTCGACTCTTGGCATACCAACTATACCTATAGCTCTCATATCATATACCATGGGCATTATTCTTGTTTTTCATATGTTCATGAACTCATGTCATTTCTCTTGTGATCACATATACCTTTTCTTCTGTCACATACCACATGTATGTATAAACATCTATGTCATTTCATATAACATGTAATACATATTGCATATTCATGTAAGCATGTAGATCATGTAACATTTTCATATAGTCACTTAACTTATCTCATTTCACATTGATCATGTCTCATAGCATGTATCACATATGCATATAGTCATGTATATCATATCATATATCTTATGTTTATGCAGATCATATAACATATATAATAACTTATACCCATTTCATGTATTCATGCACATATAAGAATCACAAATCAAATAACATTTTAGGAGTCACTTCTTACCATAGTAACTCCATCATTGACTCATCGCAAGCCGATGTTCGTTCAATACCATAAGTAAAATTAAAATTGCACTCACCTTAGCCTTGCTTTGATTTGATCCTAATTATTTGATTGTTCCAGAACTCGTTTAGGCTCTGTATCTACATAAATATAATTTTCACAACAATTATCAGGATCCTAAACCTTATAACTTGATGTTAATAACTCCAGCTAGTTTAATGAACCAAGATTCCATTTTTCCTTTAGGGGTGTATCGATGCACTATGGGTGCATCGGTACACAAAATAACTTCGAAATTCCCATGCATCGATGCACCCCTTAATGCATCGATGTACCTTCAAAATTGTCTTAGTGCATCGGTACACACTCATAGTGCATCGATGCACCTGCCCAGAAATCATTG